ACTCACACTCTGATGGATGTGTCAGGGGTAACTCGGGGTTCAGTCCCTTGCCCAGAGATCCTTCAAAACACAGACTAGAGGAGCCGGGGATCAAACCCCTGACCTACTGACTGGTAGACGACCTGTTCTGCCTTCTGAGATATAAAGGTGTATGTATAAAGATAAAATAACCAGTGCTAATCAACTGCAAACTGAAGTTTAATGCTCATTGTTTTACTTTTAACAATAAAACTCTAATCAATCATATTAGCTAAACATGTGTTGTATTACCAATTAAGTTTGTCATTTTAAAATGTTAAAGAATTATGAATTATATACATTTTACTGTACAGCATCACCATGCTGGTGATCTCAAAGATGTTGGGTAGGTTTGAAATACTGGGGAGATATGGTTACTTTATGGTGCCTGCTTTGTGTACAGGGGAGTTGTCATGTTGAAACAAGGATGGGCAAAAACACCATAGTCTAAAACATCACTGAACTGCACAATGCAGCTTTGTTATATAAAGAAGCAAGATCAAAACAACCTCCAACCTAAAGCAGAAGTCACATAAGGGGATCTTTATTTAAAGCAGTAACAAATGTATACTGTACTGGAATAAAAATAATGCTTTCATTTTAGCTCACATGTTCCAGTTTTGAATGACAATACCTCTGAAATGAAGGATGTATTGCATATCTTACCGATTACTGGGAGGAACAGTGGCACATTTGAGCTTTTACTTCCCATTAACCTTCATTTCAATGCTGTGCACGAGGAGTTGAATACTTTATGCTTTGGTCGCCTCTGAGGAGGATTTTTCAATTTCCCCAGGTACCATATAAAAGCTTGGCTCACCTGAGTTTTATCAGGTTCAATGTGCATGAAAGACACAGTGGTACTTGAGCATCAAGGTGCACAATAACCAAATGTACCTACAGTTAAAAGATTAAGTTTGTGCATTTTTTCCTCCTGTCAATGCATCTTCTACCACAAGTAACTCTTGACCAAAGAGAAGTTAAAGCCCCAAACGCTGAATTAGCAGAGGAAGAAGATGGGAAAACTACGCTGGACTTCACCAGATAATCTTTTCATGAGATTTGTTGATTAAGAGTAAAAAATACAAAACTATACCTGCATTATTATTTAACTAAATGTGCTGAGGCACTGATGTTACTGAAGGAGAAACAGAGCCTGCACAGTGTGTATTGTACAGACCTTTTCTTGTACTTGAAGGAAAGAGTCTTCCAGAAGTCGATTTCCTCATCTTTTGAGGAGAATTTCGGTATCATATCCATTTCCATGGCAAAAAAATCTACACAGGAGGGAATCGGGAAACAAGCGTGATTTCAGTGGGATAAAGACAATCCTACAAAAGACGAAAGGTTAACAGATGAAGTATAAACATTTGAGAAAAACCCATTTTCTTCTCATAGTCGTTCTTCTAAGCCTTAAAGCTCTCTCAATCCCCAGCAAGGCGGCAAACATCTAAAGACACAACATCAAGTGAGAACTAGACTCACAAATCAATGAGTCAAACTACAGCTGGGAGCTAATCATCAAAAGGACTCCCTACAGACTGCAAGAAACCCAACAGAGGCAACTGCAGAGCACGCAGCATTCAAATGTGCTTTCCAGGCTTTAAAAAAATAAAAATAAAAATAAGAGCAACCACTCCTGAAAAACAGCATTTTTAATTTGATGTACAGCCTTCTGTATGATTAAATATATCATAGATTGGCTCAAATAAGACTCCACAGGCTTGTTTAGGCTGTGTATAATGCCTCCTATGTGTAACACCCGATGGGCCTAGATGTTAATGCAAAGCACAGTTCACAGAGGTAACAATGAGACCGGGAGCCTCATTGATAACTTTTAGGGGGAATTTAAATCCCCAAACACCAAACCAGTTGTGAGCAGGAGCGGATGGGAACACTAGGCTGCAGATCCAGCAAGAACTGGACAAATGATTTTGGAGGATAGTTTTGCTCTCGTGAGATCTGCTGAGGTCTAAGTTAATCAATAGGCAAAATCAGTGAAGGTACCAGTCCAATTCCAACTCTGTCTCACCTTCTCTTAGAACATGAAGAATACCCGATGCAGACAAGAGAACACAGTGATAGTATGAAGCCTGACATTTTTCACAGGGGTAGCACAGCTTCTCTTTGGTGCTATGGATGTAATAGTTCCCACAGTGGGTCTACATTTCTAGTTTATTTGCCACATAAGGGAACAGGAACTGCTAAATGAGCATCAAAGCTCAAATTAATCTTTAATCACTCCTCTGTGCTCCACCACTGGGACTCACTCCTGAGATTCAAAACCACTGCTTTAAGCTACCCTTCTTTTTATTGGCTGCCGCTCATAAATAGAAAGGTTGACCGGTGAGTGGGTGGGTGGGGCTTCTGTGTCCAAGATTACCATATTAGCGACATCTGCTCTCTTTGACATCAAAGACCCAAGAGCAGGAAATGACTGTCTGAAATGAAGTGTTTAGAGCAGTGTGAAGTCTGGGCCATATCATATCTGGGCCAGCAGGTAGTTAGCTTAACTGAGGGAAACATCTGGACTAATTCCACTAAATCTAACAAATTAGCAGTAAATTTCACATTTTGAGTAAAATAACCGAATCTAATCTTGAACTAGGGGATGAAAAAAATATATAAAATAATTTGAAGGCCATTCAAGCAGAAATCCTATTAACTTTTTATAGCACAGGATGCAAAAATGTATTCTGTCATCCTTTGAATAATTCAGCTTTATATTATAGCCAACACTCACGGCTCGAAGGAGAAATTATAGCCGGGGAACAGCAGCACACACTGGAGCCGCTGTTTCCCAAATTAATGGGATTATTATTTTTCATTTAGTTTTTATAAAGTCTGTCGATTTAAATAGGCGTAGGTGCAAACTAAGGGTGGTTTGAACAGGCCACATCACTGCGGGGTGAAATATTAACCTTTAAATAACCTGATCTCAATTCCTCACTCAGAAAAATGACCCTGTTGAACACGGACCATATGTCGAGCCAACCACAGCCCCGCCGAAGGTGATAAACATTTTCACTACAAGAAAAGCAATGTAAAAAAAAATCCACCTCAAATTAAATAATCGGGTTAGCGTTGGAAACATAACACAGGATTGGAGATGATACCAAGCTTGGCGGCTGAAAACGTGCAGATGATGTTGAGGATGATGATGATGCGCTCAGCTGTCAAAACTGGGTGTGCAAAGGAGCCGAACGAACCGACGACACGCTGCTCTCGGTGTTTCACCTCCATTTGTTTTCCACTACAAAAATAAAATAAAGGATAATGAACTCGGTACCTGAACAGAGCTGTTTATCGGTCCATCCTGCACGGCTGTCCGAGCTGCCGAGGCCAACCGTCCCCTCCAACGTCTGCTGATCTCTGCTGCTCACAGGAGCGTTTAAAGGGAAACACACCCTCCACACAGATCCTTCTTATTTCCGCACCTCAGCTATAATTTGGATCCTTATGCCAGAATATTCACAAGGCTGAGAATATGTGGAGAATATTTTACTGATAATAACAATAATAATAATAATTAATATTATTTTGTCTGAGGTGAAAGATCCTCATAGTCAGTGAATAATGAGTAGATCAGCTCAGATGATAAAATTAAATATTTAATTTCTAATACAGTAAAGAGCTGTGTTTTTTGGTTGGCTGTTGTTTATATAAAGAAAAGAAAATGCAATAAAAAATAAAAAGTAAAATTATGGTTAGGAGTGGATTTCATCAACTCGTGCCTTTTTTGCTCGCGAGCTTCACTGCTGCTCATGAACTGCGCATAACACTCAGTTAATGTTAAATTATCATCACCTGGCGGCAGTGGGCTAGAACAGCAGTCTGTGTAGCCTTTGACTTGTGCCTGAAGTCATCTAAAAATTAATGCGTGCCTATAATTAAGTATGCTTTTCTTTAGAGATATAAGTTATGTTGTAGGAATAACTTGGGGGCCCATGACCCTCTTACGGGACACGCCCACCTGGGACTTTACACCAGTTGCTCTTAGAACTGAAGAAGCATCTGGGATGAGAGATGAAACGTCTTCAAGAAACTTAAAGAAGTCCAGACGCTTTTCTTTCCAAGCTCCTTAGTCTAATAGTTTACAGATTAAAACGAGAGAGAAGAAAATAACTTACAGATGCTAAATTACAACACAGTTCCTCAAAATTATTGCATGAATCAACGTTTTGATTCTGCAAGTTTTTGTTTTTTTTTGTATTTTATTGTATTTTTTACAAATAAATTAGTTATTCATTGTACTAAAACATTTTGAGATAAAGAAAATTACACTTTGTCACTTATGTTTTTCACTCTAAATAACAAATAAGAGCTGTTGAATGTAAAATCCTAAAATAACAGCTTTTTAAATGTACACACATCTAAACGCTGGAAACTATGGTGGAGGGTAGCTCACAGACTCAGCTCTGCTGTCAAAAGGAAGCTTACAGGAAATAACAGCTTAATGTCTGCAGAGTCCACACGTTAGTTTGTTACACTGAGACATTTGAATGTTTTCTGGCATTTGCCTTATTTTAGTAAAACATTTTTATTTAGTTTTATTTAGCTTTAATTCACATGTTGAGCTATTTTTGTACGATTTTTAAAATATTTTGCTCACATTTTCACTTGTTTTATTAATTTTCTTTATTATTTTATTCTTTTTATTCTACCCTATGTATATTTTCATTTATGTTTATGCTTATTTAAAACATTGCATGTTAATTAATGTGAGCACTTAAGAAACATAAGCAACATTTAAACTTTTTATTTTATTTTGTCGACATTTTTGTTTACATCCGTTTCCTTCAGTTTTTTGTTGTTGTTTCTTTCTTTTTCAAATTCAGGGTCATATTTTGGCTGCTCTAACGGGAAGCTTGGGACAAATAAAGTGTATTAATAAGCGAACGGACTCTAGTAATTAATGACTGTGTACACGTATCTGTGCCTACGTATGTACTGACGTCAAACCTATGCTGTAGGAGCGTGTTGCGATGGTAACGGACAACACACCGGACAAGAGCCGCTAAACAGGGTCGAGATGACCATGTCGCAGCTGGATGTCGACGGTTTTCCAATTTCGTGGAAAGATCCACAGGATGCAGACACAGTATCCATGTTTGATGTGATTTACGGCAAAGTGAGAGAGGTTTGTGTTTTAACGGACACGTGGGTGATGTGTGAGTGAAAATGAAGCTGAAAGACCCCAAAACATAAGCAGCAGTATATATACACGCGTTGTGTTATGAAATGTCATTTACATGACATCACACAGATGAGTGAAGAGTGAGCTGGATAAGATTTAGGATCGAAAACGAAAACAAAGATTTAAATAAAGACATTTTACTATTTCAGGAAAAATATGATCTAATGGCAGCAACAGGTCTCAAAAAGGGAAGGGGGAAAACAAAAGACTGGACAAGTAAATGGGACTAAAAAGAAACAGCTGGAGGAACATTTTACAAGTAATTAGGTTCATCAGTAACGTTATTGGGTATGAAAAGAGCAACTCCGAGAGGCACAGGCTCTCAGAAGTAAAGGTGGGCAGAAAACTACATCTACAAATTGTGGAACAGTTATAGAATATTCTTCCTCAGTGATGGAGTCAAAATGAAAGAGTAAGTTACAAGGAAAGAGTATGAATATCTCATCATCTACAAATAATACCATCAAAGAAATCTCTGTGCATGAGGGACAAGGCTGAAAATCAACTTTAGCACCAAGGGAAATGGCAGCTTGCACATCTGGAAAAGCAGTGCTGGAATACGTATACAGGTTTTAGTGCAACATTTACACCCATTCAGAATATTGCAGTATGACAATGCATCATCAGCATCATCATAGTATAGACGGTAAGAGTGTGTGTGCAAATCACCACGTAGACACCTGCCATCCCTACATGCACTGTCCTTCTTCCTGTTGGGGTTGAAGCACTCTGATTATGAGGCTGTGCTGCTCTGCGATTGGCTGCTGTGTTAATCACACCAGTGTGTTTTGCAGAAGGCTTTGTTTAATAGGACCTGCAGAACAATAGGTTTCTAGGATATGCGCTTTTATAAACAGTGAAGGCGGGCAGCTCGCTTAGCCCTCACTCAGTCAGTGCTTCAATCGGACGGCGAAAGAAGTCAGACGGAGATTAAAGCAAAGAGATGGAGAAAAAGGGTTTTGAGGAAAAGGAGGAGGAAGAAACTAGGACTAGTTTATTTCACCACTTAGTGACACGGAGGAAGAATCTGGGGGATGATGCGGTTTGTATTTAGCTTAATATGGAAAGGAGCTCAGGTTGTAAATATTGGCACACGGCCTTAAATTTTAAATGCGCACCTGACAATGATCCTCCTTTTGTGCCTGGATTGCATGTCAGAGCTTATTCTGTTGTCACTCTGCAGGCTTTCTAAGTCCCCCCCACCTTCTCCCCACAGAAGATCATCCTGCAGCGGCTGATAATGATTTCTCGGCTCCCCCACGACCTTGCTGATAGGACAGACCTGGGAGGTCAGCCAGCAATTACCTTAGAGCTACAGAGACTGAGGGACTAATCACCTGATGCCAACTGAACCCAGTTTTTCTTTAGGGGAATGATCCTGTTATACTGGCAGGACAAATTAATACTCCTACTTAATTTGCTGCCCTGAAATACCGAGGCTTCTTGTTGAATCTGAACAAAAGCAGTGAAAGACTGTCTCGCTTCCTGTGTTTGGTGCTTTTATAGCTTTCACACCTCCATGTGTGAGTGAGTCTGCAGGCCTTCCTTGTAAAAAAGAAATAAATTCTTTGACTAAAGTTAGAATAGAAAGCCCACAGAAGCCCCCAGGAAGAGCTGTGCCTGTGTGTCGAAAACAGAAGGAAGCCTGAATACAGAGTTTTTAAAAACTGTGATATTTAAAAAAAAAAAAAAAAAGGTCTTAATTTTTTTAATGATTTTCCAGTAATGAAACAAATAAATTATAGCAAATAAGATTCTTTTTGAAAATTATTTTTTTTTAAATTTACCTCTTAACCCTCACCAGAAGTGTGTGCTATGAAACAAGATGAATGGGTTTGTTGGATTTGTTATGTTGCGATTAAAGTCAGACTTCTGTGCCGTGAAGGTGGCTCTCTTATTTACCTGGCTAGATCACCATGGCAACTGATTCTGAACACATAATTTGGTTCAGAGCAGGTCGTGTTCAGAGTTTAAAATAATCTGAAAGTGCCATATTTTCTACTACACTTCTGGAATCGCAGCTAAGAGAACACAGATAAGAAGTTTAATTAGTCTGTCTGATGGATATTTATCTGAGAGAATATTAATCAGTAAAATCAATTTCACTTTGATTTGGCCAAAGACTCACCCCAGATCAAAGGGACTTCTTGAATCTCTGTTCAGTGGCCTAAAAACTGAAGAAATATGCCATGTTCGGTCTTATGCTTAGCTAGTAGTTGTGGCTCGTTTGTAAAAGGCTGAATATAATACACAATTCTGCAATTATTAGGTCTTGAAAAGACTTTAAAGGCATTCATTTTGCTTTTTAAAATGATGAACACTAAAACAAGAGGGTTTTGTCTTCTGTTGTTTCCACGCAGCTCATTATGAAAATCTCAACTTTCAGCTGAACAAACAGCACATATGGGATCACATAACAGGCCTGCTGCTGATTTATCCATCCTACCTGCTGCACATCATTGAAGTAAGTTCTCCTGCACAGAAACAACAAATGTATGGCTGAAGTTTGTGAAAGTGTGTGCTCAAAGTTTGCTGCGCCTCTCTCTTCCAGTCGTCCAGGGATATTCTGACTTCTGTTTTGAGAGACGTCAAAGTCATGCAACAACAGCCACACCGGTAATCTTTCTCATACTGCTTCTATATATGTATATTATACGCTGAGATACGGTGCATCCCATTTCACTCATATTTATTGCTTGTCTGCTGTCTGTTAAGAAATTCATGCCACAGAGCCCACAGAGAGGGCAAATATAATCCTGTGGTTGCCTTGCATCAGTTCAGATTCACCAAATGTGGCAAAAGCTTATGATGATGTCTGAGCAGTCGACTCCTTGCAGTGTGTTTTAGCATAAAGACGCAAAGCTGTTGCTTCTCTGCTGCCGTCATCTCGCTCAGAGTGTCTGACCATTCTAGACTTTTGTGCTTCCTACTGTTCTAACATGTCAAAACTAAGCTTTTGGTATGAAAAACAGCATTTGAACCTTAACTATCATAAATACATGTCTGGCATCTGTAATAATTCAAGCTGCATGGCAATTATTTAAAAAAAAATTAGAAAGTTCTGGACTGAAATGATGAGGCGCTGTTGCCTCGCTCCAAAACGGCCACCACATTGACACATCTTTCCAGTCAACAGCAGTGACCATTGTGGCATTTTTGTGTATATTTCTATGAAGCAGCTCTAGCTGGTCGGCTGTTGCCAGTGTGGCAAACCCCCACAGTGCTTTTGTTGCTTTAGACCAACAGCTGCGCGTTCTGGCTGCAGGCAAATAAATATTTAAGCTTTCACACACAACCTGCTGTTGTGTGTTGTGTGAGCCATAATAATTATTAGCACATCCTTTTTAGCACCTTGCTGGAAGTAAAGATTGTGTTTTTGGATCACAACCCTCAAAGAAGGCTGTTCCAGCAGTGGAGCTACAAGGTTAGCTGTCTTTTATCTTTGCACTTGATTGCTTGAAGTACTTTAATGCATGAGAGGATTATGAGAATACAAACGTTTTAGTACATAAATGAGACATAATAAATACCTTCAGTTGTAGCCAATCTCATGTTTTTAAAGTTCAAGACATTGGATTCTCTGATTGTCTCCTGTGTGTATGTATTGCTGTGTGACTGAAGGTGCTGGGTGCAGATCAGGTGATCAGGGATCCCGCAGTTAAGGTACTGGAGGATGAAGATGTCAGCATAGAGACCCTTGTATGCAGCGTCCTGTCAACGCTGCAAAATCTGAGCAAAAAGCTTGAAAAATCTAAGGTGTGTTTCTTTGCAGATGATCTTTTTCCGTTTTGAAAACCAAAACTTTCTCAGAGTTTTTCTCTGACTTCATGATTGCAATCTAAGGCTCTTCCCGGGTCAGTGTTGGATGAGACACCGCAGCTGATCGTCCATCAGAAAATTCTGGAAAGGCTTTTGGGTCGAGAGGAACTCCTGAGCCTGCAGCAGTACCTAGATATGTACAAATCCACCTTAAACATCAGTATTGAGTTTGGTAAGTGACAGCTTCCAGTTGGTGTAAAGATTTATAAGAACATTTCCAATATGAAAATATTGGAACTTAGTAAATACGCACTGATCCTTGTGTTGGATCAGATACATATGGATGCAGATATGATACATACGTGACTCTGTCAATTTTCTGATGGTTTAACAGGACAGCTGAATCCAAGAAACCTTTTCTCCGCTGTTTAACCCCCTGAACAAAATGTCAAAGGCCAACTGTTTCCTGACTGACTGTTTCCCTGTAGTGATTTTGGTTCCTACACTGAAAATATTTGCTGCAACTTACTGTTCACTTATTCTAGTGATACTTGTGGTTGTCAGACATCCTCTGCCTTTCCTGTCTTTTATGATAAATAGTACGTGTCCAAAAGATCCATTCACTCTTTGCTTCCCTTTTATTGTCTGTGTAGCTAGCCATGTACTGCGATCTAATAGTGTGGCATTGTTTTCCCATTCTAAAATAAAGACATATTCAAAAAATACATCACTTATGTCTTCCAACAGGTTTTTGTATTATAACAAGTCACGTGCAAATTGTCATCTGTCACAGTACAGTGGTCCACTACATCCTCAGTTAATAAATGCCAATAAATGAATAAATGCTAGCATTCTGCTACTGCTAACACATACTTGTGCTCAGTTAAAGATTTATAAGGGCACTTCCTTGAATCTGGATTAGTTAAAACAGATTAGAAGCTTTCATGTGTGTATAAGAAGCTGGTGGTTATGCAGGTTAACAAGGACAGTTAAGGCTTGATTATTTTCCTGCCGCTGTGTCTGCCTTGGTTTGAATGACATTGTGAAACTGATCACATGGGTTCGTCTGGACTTCTATGTGCCGCCCATCAGAGAATTTACTTTAAAACACAGCAGCTGCAGGTGGTGGAGTTCATGCTCGGCTGTGGTGTCTGCAGCTGTCCACGTTCCTTAAATCAAAATGACAGATGCTGTAAAGAGGCTCCTGATGCTGTGGTGTCCCGAACACTCACAGGAAGCTGTTTTACTACAGTCAAAGGGGTCTTCATGTTTTGTCTTGAGCTCTTCTAATAAAAACGTGAAGAAAAAGTTTACCTACAAAGTTTTCAGTTTTTGTTCTATAGTTCAGTATCTTACAGGCTCCCTAAAACCGAACATCGGTGAGCAGAAGTGATATTAGAAGTTCTCTGAAATACCCCGTGAGGATTTAAATGTCCTTTTTCACTGTTGTACTTGCTGGAAATATTTTTTGCACTCCTGATATTCCAGAAGCCTTTCTGTCATCAGTTACACCGATTTAAATGACATTTATTTGGAACAAAAAGCACAGAACATCCGAGTAATATAAAAAAAAACATTTTTAATAGTTTCAACATTCGGATGAGGATTAATTTAATTTTTTTCTCATTTTATCTTACACTGTGTTCCACTTGGTGACTGAGAGAAAGCAAGTCCAAGAAAAGGCATTTCATCTGTACTCCAAACTTTAAAGAGTCCACAGCATCACTACAGTTTGACACAAAGAACTTTTTAAAAAAAAGATTCCTTGATCGATCACGTTTTCCCTTTTTGTTTTGGCCCCCGTTACTTGGAACTTAAAGTTATGCAAAGAAAAGGATGAATGGAGATGGCTGCATGCACCACAGTGTAATCTACAGACTGCGCGGGTCCACGTGACCCTACACGTCACAGTTTTTTTCTCATTTGTAGTTGATTTTAGCAGATGTTCAGTCCTCTGAAAGTGAATTATTCTGTCTTATCCTCCATGTTGTTTCGTTGTTGGTCTGTTTGGAGTCTGATGTGCTTTTCTTGATTTGCTATAGATAAAACCGGTGGAACATATGAGGATACGTGGTGAAAGCAAACAGAAAATCATGAATGATTTAAATAAACTCTTAGCAGAACTGACGGGGGAGCTTGACTCAAAAAGGTCAAAGGGCAGCACTGAATTTTCTTCTTTTCTTGCAAAGGTCGATCTATTCACTTATAAAAAATAAATACAAGCACATTTAAATAGGACCAAAGATGAGACGCATTTCATAGGCATGGTTAAAAAGCATGCTTCCGACTTCCACACAGCACAATGTCGATATTTGATACCCCTGCACACTCTTACTCTTGAAACTATGTCACAACACACACAATCCGCCTTTATCACAACCTATGTGGTGGACATTGTCTATCAGTACATTCCACCGATGTAAAAAAAGGCCTTTGAAGTTTAGTGCTCAAAGGGCATGCTTGCAAAAGCTGCAATACTGAAAACTGTCTCTGGAATTTCTTGCCGGCTGTCTTTGCTCGACTGGGTTATTGTTAATAAAGTCGTGTTTGACGTGTTCTGTATGTACAGGCTTTGATCTGAGACCCTTTAGTACAAAAACGAAGAGCAGCACATTGTAACACAGAAACAAAGACAGGACAGACCATTCACCTCAGCACAGCCTAACTGCAACAGCAAATTTGAAAAAGAAACTTTTTTCTAAATATTAAATTTATATTGTAAAACCATGCTGCGTTGATTCAAAATCAGCATTTCTTTTATGGCAAAAAATAAGAAGTTGGTAGATTCAAAGATCATTTGAGTACCAGGAAATAATCTGAAACTGCTTTTATCAGTAATTAAATGGATTTTCCAAACATAACAGAGAAATCTGCTCAGATTTGACAACTTTTCTTGGTGCTAAGTGATAGAAAGCTTTCTTTTTCTACAGTTTTTGGAGGAAGCTTAATTTATAGTCCTGTGCTGAATCTGCCTATGCTAAAAAAAAAAAAATCAAGGCCCTGAAAATTTTAAATCCAGGCCACACATTTAAACAAGTTCTTAATGTTCGGCCTGGCCAGTGTTCTTTGTGGTCTGCACAGCAACAAGCGTCCCATCAAAATGACATAGACAGGCAGACATCCACAGCACCTGCAAGCTAACAAGCTAGCCAACGAGGAAAGCAAGAAAGGGCTCGGTCTCGTAGTAATAGAGCTGCTTCATTCACTGTTATGTGCATCCAGAAAGGCTCGGCTATGGTACAGGGAAACAACACGATCAAAGATCATGATCAATCTACGTCTCATGAAATGTTGACGGCTTTATGTCCACAAAGTGAGGAGGCTATATGAGTGATACATTATTAATTAAAACTACAAATTAAAAATGTCTGGATCCTCGTGTGATTTCTCTTTCCTATCATGGTCCTTTAGTGACTCCCACGCCATAATGAGTGGCGTGGTTTTACAATCATACTTGTGCGCTGTTGTGTCTGCAGTGCTCTGCTGTGTTGGACTTGGAGCTGATAAATGCAGAACAACGGGAAAGAGAGAAACACACCACACGATTACGGTGGTAAATCAGACCCAGCGTTGCTTAATCTTACTGCTCTCATCAGCGTTGGTTCAGACTAGATCTCAGGACCAGTCACTATGAGATCACAGTGGAGCATTTAGTATCTTGACAGCCAGACATTCCTCTGAGGAGGTGGTGGAAAGCGAAAACACAGGTAAATAGAGAGCAAATAGATAAAAAGGAGCCAGAAACACCTGCCCAGCTGAATGGCAATGTGGCTCCGCAGCTACTGGATGTGTAAAAACCAACTGTTTAAAATGTCCTTGTTGGAATTACAGTCGTAATATAAAAGAAAATAAACATGAATGGAGTCATTTCCCCAATATTCAATTCTATTAACTGTCAAAATGAGTTGTTTTTCACTGTTACATTAACACTGGGTAATGAATTAGCACTGTGAGCACACTAAATGCAACTAGAGCCTATTACACGTTGGTTCACAGAGGCATTATCCTTGTAATAATCAATATACATTTTTGAGCATATTACCGCCACTGTAGGCTGCGTTGCCACAGCAGCAAGGTGGATGCCAGACTATGCCAGAGGATATAGGGTCTCTACAGGTTAATGCAGCACTATAAATTAAGCTTTAGTCAGATAAAAGAAGCATCTTGATGGTTTGGATGACCTCTGGTATTTCTTTTTTGTACCAATTTAAAATTTTCTGCTTGTAAAAAAATCTGTTCTATGCAAACTGTTGTTTAACGTCTGTTTTCTCTTAAACATATAACCTCTGTTGCAACCTCAGTTTTCATGCAGGGTCTGTTTAAACCTTTCAAACTGTGATCGATGTGTCACTGCAATTGCAGCACCCCACAGACACTTATTTTTATTTCTAAAGAACACACAATCACATTTCCACGAATCTCAAATATACCAGGAAATGTGCTCAAAGCTGCACGAGACATCTTGAATTTCCACGTAGCTGCAGTGATGTGTTGTTGTTTTTTTGTTGTCTAAAATCTAATCTAAAAGTTCAAGAGGTTCATTCTGAGGTCAGAAACTGCAAAACAAGCACTAGATTTGACCTTTCAGTCTGCTGTACCATGTTAGGCTTGTGCTAGTTCCAGCAACATTATAATATTATACATATAGTATGGATGTTCATCATCATTTATCCTTTTCAATACAGTATTTGTATATATCTATATATTTATATATATATATATGAATTTCTCCCTTCAGTATATACAGAACAAACTGTATAGAGGCTTCGGTATTTACAAGAGTCCTGTGAGTGATATCGCGCTTTAAAGAAAGACACAGGTAGAGCAGCACAGTGACTTTGAGGCCATGTGTAGTGGATGTTTTCAGGACAAAAGGAAAGTCGTATAAATCTGGATAGGTCACAACAAAAACCCACCGCAAGGCAAATAGCAAACTACTGCTGTCGTACACAAACCTTGTTACTCCAGTTTAACTGATTTTCAAGTTTCCTCTTAAACTGAACCTGCGATTCCTGAAAAGGTTTTGATGCGGCAGCAGAGCAATTCTGGTCCCACGTTTGAATACTTGAAAAAAAATTCCTCAGATTCATGTGCAGCGGAAACGACCACAGCTCCTCATACCTAGTAAAAAGTATTCAGAAATATATCTGTATAAATACTCTCATCAAAATAAACACATATACACACATATCTTTGCACTTGCCTCTGGTTCACTAAAATAGACCAAAAATATCAGCATCATCAGGCAGGGTTCCTATAAACTGTAATGTGAATGTGGCTGAAAATGACAGAAAAACTGTGCTTATTTATAAGAGACCAAGCACCTTTTTTCTGAAAGTGTCTCTAGACTGTTTTCTGGCTTTGCTACGATATGATAGGATGTTAAATGTGTCAGGGCTTTTGCTCTTTCCCAAGAATGGTTCAATATGTCAATACAAGTTTGCACTGTATGAATCCTGGAGTGTGATACAGCAGGTTCATAATCTCTAAAATCTTTGTTTTTTAGCATCTTTCCACCTGCTGTTTGCGTTCTGTGTCAGTCTTACTGGTTTCATCAGTGTTGTTTCAAACAACATCTGCTAAGCTAACAGGAAACACAAAGTTAGCAGCTGGCCGGTGCATTTAATGGAGTGTTGGGCACCTAAAGAGCCAGATATGTCTCTCTCATCAAGTGGTGGAGACCAAAAACTGAGCTAAAAAGAGAAAAAGTATAAAGAAAAGCAGATGAATTGAATGAAATTGCTTGCTAAGGGTGTACGGCAATCACACATGCCTAAATATGACTGCCTAGCAACCACTGATCGCTAAGGAAAAAGTTATACTGGCCGAATCGTTGGAGGTGAGTGACGGGTGAAATTGGCCACAAAGAGGGTGTTGCACCAAGAACCTCTGATCTAAATTATTATTGCATGGCACAAGCATGCAATTGGGTTTCAGAGTGCAGTGAAGCGCATGCTACTTCCTATGTGAAAAGGAAACTAAGACTGTTCACCATCAAAGTAAAAGTCGTGCCTTACAACTGCATCCAACACCTTTCAAAACATGAAACTTTTTTACTTCAACTGTTTTTAAGGCGAATGATCTCCATTTCCACTTTGCATCCCACTTTCCACAGTTTCATTACTGCTCAGCAACTGTGGCAATCTGCAAGCAACCAAAGCAATCACAAGGTGGTCTTTGGTGCATTACCGTATACCGCTTTCTGACCAATTTCACCTAGAGACTGCCAGCAATTTCTAGCAACCATTTGGCAACCAGTTGGGGAATACAAATTTTCCCTAGTGACCGGTGGGTACCATGGGATCACTGACAGGTCTTTAGGCCTGTGCGACTGGGACCTTAATCTACAGAGTCAGGATGAGGAGGTTAACCATTTAGGAGTTCAGAGTAGATCTGCCAACTCAGGTGGTTTGATTATGATGCCTCCTAAGTGAAGTGTTGTCGGCATGTCTTACTGGGAGGCGACCTTAGCCCAAAGCCAGCAGACGCTATTCAGATTTGAGCTCTCGGCTGGCTGCAGAAGTCCCCGGTTTCCCACCAGAAAACCTGGAAATTGGGAGATCTGGGCATCTCTGCCTACCATGGCCTGAACCCAGGTAGGCAGCAGAGAAATAATGGATGGGTGGATAGCAGGTCCAAAAGTGATACAATATAAATTAATTAGGTTTGTCAAATTATTTAGCATAGTGTTTGAGGACAAGCATCGAATCGCTATCGAGCTAATGCGCTGACCAACAGTTAGTGGGAACAGCACAGCAATGAGCCCAGCAAAAGTAAAGAGAGGACAACTACCTGCCAGCAAACTGCCAAGTAAACAATGCAAAATGTTTAATATTTAATAGGTGTCTGTCTAATGTCTCGTGACAAAGGAAACACACAAGAAAACCCCACAGGGCACCCCACCCACAGAGCTGGCCATTCAGAGCCTCCGCTACTGCTATGTGGATGAAGTTTATTTTATTTTTAAAAAATAAACGATGTGGTTATGCACTCCAGGCTTCACAGTTACAAACTTGTACATCCTTGAAACTGAAATGACGCCTAACTCGACAAAGAAAAATGAAAGATCTCATTCGGCTTTGCGTCCTGCCAAAAAAATATTTCTGAGTAAACACAATTGAGTTTTTCATTTTTCATACTGGTGGACGTTTCATAAACTACAGCATGTATCTCATATACTTTATAGCTCCCTGACAGCATCAACTATATAGCTCTCCCGTGGATACAAAATATGATCTGGGTTAGATTGTTAATCGTATCATACACTCTGAAAATGTACAGTATAAACAATAAATATCCAGTGACTGATATCCTGACTGAATGCCTTGTTATAAAGAGAAAGGAGTGATTGGGCGTTTAACCGCTTCCCAACCTGCTTAGTTAACTTCTAAACATCTAAAACATTCATTCCTGTTTTTGCTCCACGACACCGACAGTGCAACATCATATAATACAATTACCACTTCACTTAACACGCCACACACACTAGCAAAACACACACGCGCGCGCTTTCCAAAACGACACACTGGCACACTCACAGTGAACGCTCAAGTGGGACTGAAATTCGGGGCCAGAGGCGTTTCAAGCCAAGAGGAGATGAACGGTGAGAGAAGGAAGTTAACAGGACAGATATACAGCACTGTGTTAGTTTGTTCTGAAATTCACTCATGAAAAGCAGCAGCAGCAGCAAAGAGCACTCATCCTCCCAGCAGCCTGTTTCCAGTCTCGTGTGAGTGAGGTTAAAGGCAATATTGCAAGTGAATCAAATAAGGCAGAAAGAAAAAGAAAACATTAAGTTAAATTAAAAAAACAAACATCCAGCCAATGCAAAATGTCAAATCTTCCCCTGACAACACTGTCGCCAAAACCGTGTGTATGTGTGTTCACCAGATTTTTTTGTTTTACTGTATAGAAGTGCTTTTTTCTTTTGTACGCGCTGGCCCCTCTGGATCGAGCACAGGTGAGGCGTGATGAGGAGGTCCAGAGGTGGCCGCTGAGGCCGAAGTTAATGCAGCTGGAGAGGTGAAAGGTCAATGAATGATCGAGACGGCACAGCAGTAGCTTGACGGAGAGGGTGGGGGAACTCGGTGGCGTCATAGCACTGTGCTCTCAGACTCTTCCTCCGAGTCCTCTTTGCTGTTGGCCGACTCCAGCTGTGCCACTGAGTTCCTGAAGGGGGAGATGTGGGTCAAGTCAAAAATACTGTCCAGTTCCATGTTAATGACGGGGATGTCCAAGTTGCAGAGGGAATCTGGCAGAGCAGAGAGAACAAGCAGAGGATAAGCAGACAGATAAAAACCGTGCAAACAGAGAAAAAGATCCTTCCAGATGTGATTCATCAGCGCTGAATGATGTCACACACAGCAGACGTCCAAACCAAGGTTGGAAGCGTGAAGAAATAAATTAAAAATGCATGACAGGGATTCACAGTGTAAAAAGTGTGTGTGTCTGTTGAACATCACCATTCCCTAATGGTGGGCAGGGGTGTCAAACATGAGGCCCAGGGGCCAGAATTGGCCCAGAGAAGACTCCAATCTGGCCCGTTGGATGACTCTGAAAAATGTGAGAGCTTGTGTCTGTGTGGAGCTAGCTCTGTGTAGAGGGGACAATGACACAACAAACACTAACTATCGATAAAGTTAGATCATTTTGACCAAACTAGCATTTTATGCAACACAATTAAGATTTCCTGTGACTGAAGGCTATTTGTCAAAATCAAAATCCTGCTGATGTACCACATGGACTTAATATATGCAGGCAAAACAAAATCCAAACAATATCTGTGCAGTTTACAAGCTCTTTTTATCCACTGCAAGCAAGCAGGCAACAAAGGGTCATGGCTTCTGAGGCAAGGCAAGTTCAGCGTACCCAGGATCTCTTTCTGTTATCTGGATTCACCCTAACGTCAACAATCAGGCTAAACCCCGGCATGCATCAGTCTAACTATGAGAATCTGACCAGACACTTTTATCAGTAAGACTGGAAAACAATTGCTAAAAAAACAAGGTTTAGTCTATATTAACCCACAAAAGAAAACTAAAAACTCAGACTGTAAGGCTGACAGTAAAAATTTGATGGTTTACAATCAAGAGGCTCAAGGAAACATGATGCTATTTTACAGAGAACTGATTGGTCAGTAGGTGGTGACTTCATAACTGTTAATGTCTAATTTTAAACATTTTCTGCTTCGATCCAGGTTAGGTTTACGCCGTGTTACCATGGTAATATACCTAGTAAAGGCAAACAACCTACATAATACTGAAAACCCCAGGTTAGACCTGAAGTTACCTGGATAAGCTGAGCTCTCCCTTCATATATTACAGACCTTTGGTGCTTGTGCTTACCTACCTATATAGAAATTTGGCTAGTATGCCATGCAGTACATGTGTACTTATATAATATATTACTATAATATTGACAGTGAAGACATCTAGTGTACAACATGTGATGGAAAACTGGTGCAGACAGGAAGTGCGCTGACTGAGGGGCAGAGGTGGAGTCGGTGGGAAGCGTGAAGGGTGTGTGGGTGGGGTGACAGATGAAGCCAGGGAGAGGAGGGGCAGCTGGAGCAGGGCATTATGGGTGGGAATCCTAAGCGCAGGAGAGGTTGGGATCGGTGGACAGTCCGGTATGCACGCCCATGTAAGCCATGCATCAGTCTCAGCCACCATGCAAAGGCCAACAAAATGAGTAAAAGGTGGACTGAACACAGCGCCTGTATGGTCATATGAGTGAGGCTGCCGTAGAGCAGCAGATAATCTTAAACCTGCATCTACTGGCAGCTTCACTGTGTTGTGAGCATGTCAGCGGGCGGCTCCATGTTTGGGGTTTGAGGGTACCGAAGAGGAGGGGAAGGGAGGCTTTAGCACAGAAACTCCTGCTTACCCTAAAAGTCCCTCTCACACACAGAATCACACTGAACCTCTCGCCTCATACCGCTGCAGGTGAGACGATAAGAGGGGAAGAAATTACATGAAAATCATGATTAGAACCTGCAGGTGATGGAGAGGCAAACAAATGCATAATACACGACTCCTCTCCTGATGGAGAAGGACACCAAAGGATAGTCTGCTGTTATCCTACATCTATCATTATTGCCAATAAATGTCATGAATAGACCAAAAACAGTGCATATACATCCAAGTACATGAACTTAAATAATAAGAATTCATAATATTTGTCAAACTATGGCATATTATTTATCAAATCTACATATAGCAAAAAGAATTACGAACACAAAGTGCTTTAAAAAAAACGGTCAAGTTTAGTATTACCAGTGGACATGCTTTCCCCAGGAGAAAGGCCGTCCAGGAGCCCAGATGAGTGCTCCAGAGGCTGGGGACTAGTGCCAGGTGTGGATGGAGGCTGAGGAGGAGGCAGGCTGGGTCTCTGCCGGGGCGGCTTGGGGGTCGGTCTGGCCTTGGTGAGAGTCCCAGCCAACGAGGGCGGAGAGGACAGAGACGGGGTGGTGATCATCTGCAACTGACCCGGGGAGCTGATGGTGGCATATCCCTGCGGGTAGCTGAAGCCATATGGGGAAGGGGTGCTGGGAGGAGTGGGAGACAGGCTGACTGGAGACGGTTGACCTGTGGACTGGTCGGACATGGCTCCCGTTGGGCAGTAAGGGCCTTTAGGCGGGATCGGAGCCAGTTTCTTTGCTGTAGAGAGACCACCAAGAAAGAACACAAGATGATCGGGGTCTGCAATATTTCCAAAATAAAAAGGCATTTAGCAGTCTGCTAGCATGTCTGTTTGTCAAATTAAAAGTGTTCAATTTTTATAGAAATCTGCGGTGATGCTTTAAAGTACCAGATTTTCAACATAAAAGAAAAAAAAAACTTTGACATGCCCATTTTTCCAAAGTAAAAGAAATTTGCTTTAATTTGCCAGATCTTCAATATAAAAGCTGACAGTTATAAAAAAAAGTTACCATGATAACAAATGTCTCTATATTTCTGAAATAAAAGCAACCAGTTTGCTTTAAGAATAAACAAATGTTTTGACATGCTATTTCAAAGTAAAAATCACTTTTTAGTCATAGAAATGTATCCGGATGCTTCATAGTACCAGATTTCCAACATAAAAGCTCCTTGTTAGCCACAAAAAAGTTATCAGGGTGAACCAAAGTCATATTTCCAAAACAAAAGAGTTTTAGGAATTTACCAGCATAATCTGACATCTTTGTTTTTCAGTTAAAGTAATTTAAAAGAGTGTGGGAAGCTACAAAAAAGACACATAAATAAAACGTTTAACAGGATTATCACATCTGTATCAGTTTTACAAAATAAATGTAGTTATCAGGATTCCCAGAAATGTCAGATTTTCAAAGTACACCCCCTAGTTAGCTTTTATAAGTTATAAAAGCTAACTTTATAACTTTTTTTTATCATTAAAAAAAAATAAATAAATAAA